AGAGTGAGGTTGAGAGAAAATCTCCCTTGTTGATGCTAGAACTTTGAGAGATTCGGATTGTGATCCGAAATTTGTAAACCATTTTCAGTAGTGGATTGTTTTTCATCTGGGCAAGTGCCTTGTGGTTTTTTCCATTTGGGTTTTTCACGAAAAAATTCTAGTGTCTTTTTTTTATTTTACTTGCTTGATTATTCTGTTTTTGGGTGATTAATTGTGTCTTTGATTGCTTTGATTTTGGGCATTGGACCATTAAAACATCAACAACTGGTATCAGAGCAGGCTTTACACACAAGGTGTTTGTGAAAATTCCCAAGTGAGATTTGGGTGATTTTTTTTCATTCCAGCAACCATGGCGGATGAAAAGATGGTTCAACCATGATTAAGTTGAACACCTCTAATTACTCTTTGTGGAAGACTTTGATGGAGGACAAGTTGTTTTGTAAAGACCTCTATGACCCAATTGAGCACAAAGGCATCAAACCTGCAGAAATTAATGATGATGATTGGAAAAAGATTGATCGCAAATCTTGTGGCGTAATCCGTAAATGGGTTGACATGAGTGTGATTCATCATGTGGCTCAAGAGAAGGAGTCCTATAAGTTGTGGACTAAGCTTGAAGAGTTGTTTGAAAGAAAGAATGCCTTGAAGAAAGCTTCCCTCATTAGAAAACAAGTCAATCTCAAGTACAAGGAGGGCAAGAATGTGTCTGAGCACGTGAATGATTTTCAAGAAATTTTGAATGAACTAGTTACAGTGAAGTTGGCCATTGATGATGAGGTACAAGCATTGATTTTATTGAGCTCTCTTCTAGATAGTTGGGAGACTTTGGTGGTAACTTTAAGCAACTCAACAAGAGATGGGGAGATGACTCTACAGCTAGTTAAGGACAGCATATTGAGTGAGGAATCTAGAAGAAAAGAGCAAGGAATTATGAGTTCTGAGTCTAAAGCACTGGTTACTGAGTATAGAGGGATGAGTAAGCAAAGGTATATTCGAAGAGACAATGACAGACAATCTCAAGAGAAGTACAGCAAGGGGAAGTCCAGAGGTAGATCAAAATCCAAGAGCAGAGTGACTTGTTACACTTGTGGAAAGTAAGGTCATTATCAAAAGGATTGTTGGCACAACAGAGATAAAAATGTTAGGAAGAGGGCTGATACTCATGAAGAGAAGGAGGCCAAGGAGAACACTACTGCAATTGCTTCTGATGGTAAGGTATACTTGCTATGTGAGAATGATAACATTGATGTTGCTCATCATGATTCTACATGGGTTGTTGATACTGCTGCTTCTTATCATGTCACACCAAATAGAGACTGGTTTAGCTCATATAAAGAAGGTGATTTTGGCTATCTGAAGATGGGAAACATATCCGAAGCTAAGATTGTGGGTGTTGGTGATGTTTGGCTTGAAACAAACATCGGGTCCAAGCTGCACTTGAAAAATGTGAGACATGTTCCTGAAATACGTCTCAATTTGATGTCTATGAGTATGCTAAATGATGATGGCTACCTCAATTATTTTGGTGATGGCACTTGGAAACTCACAAAAGGCACTATGGTTGTGGCAAGAGGCAAGAAGAGATTTTCACTCTATGAAACTCAAGCAAAACAGTGTCAGGGACAGATCAATGTTACAAAAGCTGATGCTACTGAGTTATGGCACAAGAGACTTGGGCACTTGAGTGAGAAGGGACTTCAAATCCTTAGCAAAAAGGAACTCCTACTCAGCTTGACAAGCAATCTTTCTAAAACCTGTGCTAATTGTTTAGCTGGCAAGCATCATAGAGTTTCTTTTCACACTTTACCCCTGTCTAGAAGAAAATATGCACTTGATTTGGTTCATACTGATGTTTGCTTCATGAAAGATAAAAGTCTAGGTGGTGCTACATATTTTGTGACTTTTGTGGATGATTTTTCTAGAAAATTGTGGGCTTATCCCTTGTCTAGTAAAGATTAGGTGCTGGAAAAATTTAAAGAATTTCAGGCAATGACAGAAAGAGAAACTGGGAGAAAATTAAAGTGCATCAGGTCTGATAATGGTAGTGAATACAGTGGACAATTTGAGCACTATTGTAGAGAACAAGGAATTAAACTCGAGAAAACCACTCCTAGAACTCCACAACATAATGGAGTTGCTGAAAGGATGAACAGAACAATATGTGACAGAATTGTTTGTATGCTCTCTCATGCTAAATTGCCAAAGTCCTTTTGGGGTGAGGCTTTGAAGACTACAGTGTACTTGATAATTCGATCCCCTTCTGTTTTTTTAAATGGTGATGTTCCGGAGAAGATTTGGGCAAGCAAAGAAGTATCCTACAATCACTTGAGGGTATTTGGCTGCAGGGCATATGTGCATGTTCCAAAAGAGGAGAGAGCAAAGCTTGATGCAAAGACAAAACAGTGTGTGTTCTTGGGATATGGTGATGAGGAGTATGGTTATAGATTATGGGACTTGAAAAACAGAAAATTAATGAGAACCAGAGATGTGGTGTTTATTGAGAATGAGATGGTTGAAGACTCAAATAAGCAAGATGACAGCGAGGACACTCAAGAAATACCAGACAATGATTATTGTACTCCTTCAACACCTAAACCAAGTGTTATGAATGATGATCACAGTGAAGTAGATGAGCAGCAAGTTCAAGAGCCTGTTGTTGAACATTTTGTTGAAGAAGAAACACACTAAGAAGAGCAAGTGCAACCACCACAGCAACCTCAAGTTAGGAGGTCCACTAGACTTCATCAACCATCTCGGAAGTATTCCACTTATGAGTATGTGCTCTTGACTGACAGGGGAGAGCCAGAAACTTATTATGAAGCTATGGAGAGTGGAAACAAGAAGGAATGGTTGATGGCAATGCAAGAAGAAATGAGTTCTTTGCAAGAGAATGGGACTTATGAGCTGGTAGAGCTTCCAAAGGACAAAAAGGCTCGTAACAACAAGTGGGTTTTTAGAGTAAAGTCTGAAGTGAACAATCCCAATCCAAGGTTCAAAGCTAGATTAGTGGTGAAGGGCTTTGGACAACAAAAGGGCATTGATTAGGATGAGATTTTCTCACCAGTAGTAAAAATGCCATTTATTCGAGCTATTTTGGCTTTGGCAGCTAACTTGAATTTAGAAATTGAACAGCTGGATGTTAAGACAGCTTTTCTCCATGGTGATCTTGAGGAGGAGATCTATATGAAGCAACTAGAGGGTTTTGAGGTGCAAGGCAAGAAGAATCTGGTTTGTAAATTGAAGAAAAGCTCGTATGGTCTCAAACAAGCTCCAAGGCAATGGTATCGTAAGTTTGACTCTTTTATGGGGGAGCATAAATTTGCTGGAACAGAATCTGATCATTGTGTTTATGTTAAGAGGTATCCAGATGGTGATTTCTTGATACTTTTGCTTTATGTGGATGACATGTTGATTGTTGGTCATGACACAAAGAAAATTGCAGCCTTGAAGACTGACTTGAGCAAGTCCTTTTCTATGAAGGATTTGGGTCCAGCAAAGCAAATTCTTAGAATGAAAATTTTTCGAGATAGAAAGAGCAAGAAGTTGTGGTTGTCACAAGAAAAATATATTGAAAAGGTGCTTGATAGGTTCAACATGAGCAAAGCAAAACCTGTGGGCACTCCACTTGCTGGCCATTTCAAACTTAGCACAGAGTAGTGTCCTGCAAGCAAGGAGGAAGCAGAATACATGAAGAATGTGCCCTATGCTTCTACAGTTGGTAGTTTAATGTATGCTATGGTATGCACAAGGCCAGATATAGCTCACGCAGTGGGGGTAGTGAGCAAATTTTTATCCAATCTTGGCAAGCAACATTGGGCAGCAGTTAAGTGGATTTTCAAGTATCTTAGAGGTACATCTCATATGTGCTTATGTTATGGTGAGCATGAATCTTTACTTAATGGCTATAGTGATGCTGATTTGGGTGGAGATTTGGACTTTAGAAAGTCCACTTCAGGATACTTGATGCTTTATGCAGGGGGAGCAATTTCATGGAAGTCAAAACTGCAGAAAAGTGTTTCATTATCCACTATAGAAGCTGAGTATATAGCTCTTTTTGAAGCAGGAAAGGAGATTGTATGGATGAAGACGTTTTTTGAAGAATTGGGTCTTAAGTAAGGGAGATTTGTGTTGTTTTGTGATAATCAAAGTGCAATTTACTTGAGCAAGAACCCACAGTTCCATTCCAGAACCAAGCATGTTGATTTGAGGTATCATTGGATACGTGATGCAATTGAAGAAAAGGTGCTTGATGTTGAGAAAGTTCACACGGATGACAACAACTCTAATATGATGACCAAGTCCTTGGTGAGAAGCAAATTTGAGTTTTGTAGATCACAAGCTGGCTTGGTGGAGCCCCCCAACTAGCTTGGGCGGGGGAGATTGTTGAGCTAGCCCTCCCAAGTTGGGTGGCTCAACAATGGAGGTGCACGGTGAATGGCAGAAAACTTGGAAAGTTTTTGTTTTGAAGCTGCACAGTTTTTCCAACACAGACATTCCAATTCTTGAAGAAAATGGGAAAAGCAAAGTGGACTCCTCCAACTTTGGTTATGTTGACATGTTAGTCCTTGATAGAATAGTTTTACTATCCTTGTATCCAAAAGCTCCCTATTTTAACTCTTGTTTAAAATTTAAAAGAGTGCATATTGGTGAGAGCGTAAAAAAAAAAAAAAATAGAGTGGGAAAGCAATGCAAAAAATAGAGTGAGGTTGAGAGAAAATCTCCCTTGTTGATGCTAGAACTTTGAGAGATTCGGATTGTGATCCGAAATTTGTAATCCATTTTCAATAGTGGATTGTTTTTTATCTGGGCAAGTGCCTCGTGGTTTTTTCCATTTGGGTTTTCCACGTAAAAATTCTGGTGTCCTCTTTTTATTTTACTTGCTTGCTTATTCTGTTTTTGGGTGATTGATTGTGTCTTTGATTGCTTTGATTCTGGGCATTGGACCATTAAAACCTCAACAATTAGTGCCCATAAAAATTAAGAGAAAATTATTTCAAATTTATATTATTTCAATGAAATGCACCACAAGAAAAGAAAATAATCTTATTTAAAATTAAAAAATAAATTACCATTCTAATAAAAATTTATTGAAATGATATAATTTTTAAAGAATTTTCTTCTTAAAGACGGTAAGGAGATAAGAAGGATGGCACATTCATACATATAAGATAATATAACTGTGAACACACAAATCTAGTACTTAACCTAATATTTTGTGGATATGCATTTTTAATACTCAATATTTAAATGTTTCTTTTTAAATTGTTATTAGAAAAGTAAAAATTAAAATATTTTAATATTAAAAA